TGTGTGGGGCGGGAGCCTTGGCATTCCCTGCCACGGGGACAGGGGCAGAGGCTCGAGCAGGACGGCAGTGAGCCATACCGAGGTCTAACGCGTCGCCCCCACCCGCTCCGCTCCAGCCTCCCCATCCCATCGCACACGTGTGCCAGCGGAGCCCAACCAGCAGCGTGGCGCGGTGCGCAAAAATTTCATTTGTGAACCAACACACATACCTGGGTCAGACTGAGAATAAAAAGAAATCGCCACCCCCCTGCGGGCAGCGCTGCCCATGAGTGACAGACCCCACTGTGGGACACCGTGCTGCGGGAGGGCAGAGCAGTTCTTGGCCGAGACACAGACGTCGGTGCTCGAGCCCAGCTCTGATTTTGCCCGTGCATACGGCAGGCAGCACTACACGGACAAGGAGGGCATCGGGACGGATGACATCAGATTGGGAGCTAAGCCCAGCACGCTCCTTCCTCCGACCCCCCCCACACCAGAGCGGAGCCCAGGGGGTGCGGGGAGGCTGGGGGGCTGCAAGAGACACCGAGCATCGCCAGGAGACCAAAGGGGGGTAACCCCGGTCCCTCCTGCATGCCCTGCCTGTGGGATGGGAGCGCAGGGCACAGCCAGCCCGGGGGGGGACACACACACACAGCACGGGGCACTCGATATTTCACTGGCGTCCCACGGCGGGGCTGCTCATGCCAGGGGTACAGCACGGCCCCACGGCAGCGGCGCAGGGCAGCGAGCGAAGGCTGCTTTACTCCAGCCACGCTTTCTAAGCCAGCCTGCATCTCACACAGCAGCTCCGCCGCCCCGGCTTTGGGCACAGGCGGGATGCTTCAGGGTACAGCCACGAGCAAACCAGCTCTGGCAGCCACCAAGGACCTAAAGAGAGCCCTGCTTGGAGCGGGCGGTGATGGCAAAGCTCCCCCGAGACTGACACATCCCAGAGCCCCCAGCCCCCTCGCCTCCAGGCTGGTGCTTTCCCCCCCCCCCCTCCGCAGCAGCCGCCTCGCTGGTGGTTTTGCATGGGAGGGGGTAAGAGACCCCCTCACCTTCAGGGCTAAAAATCTACCCCTCTCTGCAGGGACCTGGATTGCACAGCAACCCGCTCCCCCGCCGTTAGCCGCCGCACTTGCAGGTGGTTAAAGGCGCTGCGGGTCGGCATGCTGCGAGAGCAAGCGCGGGCGCACGCCTCCGCTGCAGATCCCCTCTCCTCCAGGCCAAGCTGCCCCGGGGATCCGGCCTGGGGGGCGCAGGGCACGAACCAGACAGCGGAGAGCATGAGTCAAAGGGCAAGAAGGAGCCTGCATGCCGTGGAGACGAGTGGGGCCAGCACACACCCAGAGAGAGAGGACACAGACTGGCAAAGGAAAAGGAGAAGGGAATACAGAAGAGAGTACTTACAACAGAAAACAGAGAAATTTCACTTGCTCAGTAGTCCTGATGCACCAAAGCACGGACAGGGAGAGAGACAGGCAGATGGAGAGAAGAAGAGCGTGTGAAAAGACCGGGATGTAGCTCTCATCTGGAGAAGCTCGGCGACTTGCCCGGCTCCGCCACTTTGCAAGGAACACCCAGGTAAAAGATGCTCTGGTTCTGCCTTTGCTACCTGCGGCAGCAGGATGCGATTCAACCACAAATCCCACTGCTGGGGCCGTCGGATGCCCGCCACCAAAAGGTGATGGAGAGGGAGCCTGAAAATCCCCTGCTCCTGCCCCTCGCCGCCAGCTCTGCTCGCCCGCGGCCACACATGGGAACGCCGACTCTTAAAAAAAATCCGTATCGACACTCTGCAAATATTCCCCAAAGAAAAGCACCCACCTTGCCCTTATTTCTGCCTGCTAGGCTTTATCTGCTCTGTAAAACCCCGCTCTGGTTTTCCCACCAGAGGACTGGTGAGCAGAGCGACGGCTTGTTCTGCCTTTACTGTCAAACCCACCACAAACTCCGTGCTCCGAAAATTTCCCCATTCAAGCTGATTTCCTGCCTAACCCTGCAATGGGTTCCAACTACTTCTGTTAAGTGCAATCACAAATTATAGCGGAAGGACCCAAAACTGGCCGGGCAATGAATTGCTTGTGCAACATCCCCTCCGCTTCCCTTGCCCGCTCCGAGACCCTGTGGAAGGAGGGCAGGTAGAGCTGAGCCCGGCTCAGCACCCGCTCTCCTAAAGGTCAGGCTGAGGCTCCGGCGCTGCCCGGGCACAGGCTGGAGGACACCTGCGATACAACAGGTAAAATACCAAGAAAACAGCCAGGTTTGGCATTAAACTTCTTCCCAGAGGAGGGTAACGCTGTCTGCGTTCCCCGGAGGCGCTATGAAATGCCACCATCTACACGGGCATTTTAAATAGCATGGTTCAGGAACTAAATATGCCCTGAAATAGTTCAGCAAGGGACACCGAGCTCCCTACTGCCTGCGCAGAGGTGAGAAAAGCCACGGCCACTCTGCCTGTTTAACCTCTGGTCTCTTCCCCCGTTATAAAAAAAAAGGACATTCAGTGGCAGCCCAAAACGTCCCAGCCGCATCCGATAACCGGAGCAGCGTTCCCAAGCTCCAGGAGACCCATGAAGGCAACCTCGACACCCCCCTGAGCTGCACCCCCCAGGGGATTTCCAAAGAGGGGATCCTGCGAAGTGGGTCCCGATCCAGCCCTCCCTGCTCTGCCTGGGATTGGGCCCCGGCACCGCTCCGGGACACCCGTCCCTCTCCTCCCATCCGCTCCCGAGTGGCCAAAGGGTTGGCAGGGAGAGCGGAGCTGCCCCTCGCCGGGAGAAGGGGCCGACAGAACCAGGGCAGCAGCAGCCCCCGAGGTGCACGTTGGCATTTCGGGCTCGCTCAGAAGGCACGGGGGCACCATCACCACCGCCGCAGCTCTGCCCGCACGCGGGGAATGGAGGGGGCTGCCAGCCCCCCGCCAGCCGCCCGCTCCGCACGCACCGGCACTCACGTTATCAGGCGCGACTTGGGCTTCTTTGGGGAGTCTCTGCCTTTCAGGAGATCGTCCTGCACCTCCAGCGTCTGAGACTCGAGGATTTCATTGAGGCTGTTATCGGCAGTGGGGCAGGAGTCGGCGGCGGTGCTGGCGAGGGTCTTGGTGGGCTTAAAGGGATCCACGGAGTCAAAGTTGTCGGGATCGAACTGGTAAGAGCCCTTGGGAAGAGTCGGCGAGTGTTCCAGCGCTGAGCTGCCACCAAAGGTGTTGAGACCTGGGCTGTCCCAGAGTGCAGGACCCAGCCGGGGGGAGCCCCGGGGAGGCGGTGGCTCCGTGGGACCCCTCTCCGCGCCCTCCCCTGGCTTCTTGGGCGGCGCTCGGTGTCTCTTCGGCGTCAGCTTGCTGGCTGGGATCCTGCTGCCCTTCCTGGGTGCAGCTCTCCTGGCCTCTGCGCTCTCTCCCCCTTCTGTACCATCAACCTCGGGTTTCGGGACCTG